CTACTTTTAGGGGAATGGTCCTAGAGTCGTGGGTTTTGTTGTAGTAGAGGTAGCCTATATCTTAAAGGTGTGCCAGAAACAGCCATCACATTCGGTTAGGGTCCCCATGAATTACTGCCTGAGCTGCTGTTTTTTTACAGTAAAAAAACGTGCATATCTTTTGCATACAACAACCAATTGATCGTAGATTTTTCATACACATGCCTTTAGTGGTGGTGGTAAAACTTTTGAAAATGGGGGGGGGGGGGGGGGGTCTCATCGAAACGAATTAGTTTCTACTAACTATAAAACTTTCATGCGCGACTCCTTTTCGAGATAACTTGATAACGAGTGGAGTGAAGGGGAGGGAGGGGAGATAGACATATGATTTTATCTTTCATGGTATTCTAATGAAGGGTTTAACGAAACGAATCAATTTCTACCAATCATAATCTTCCTCGACCCCATATATTATGGTGATCGGTTATAATTCCTTATATTTCAAGAGCGGATTGTCGGAGTAGGGTATACCGACAATGGCAAAATTAATCGTCTGGACGAGACATATCTATTGGTGAAGTCCAAGCGAAAATCTTGAAATCGAAGTATCGGAAGAGGGTATTTATAAAGGGCAAGTAGAACGTATGAACGAGACACATCTACTGGTGATGTCAAAACTTTCAGTGCAAATATCTGCAAAACGGAGTGTCAGAGGAGGGTATACTCTCAAGGGGTAAAAAGACCTTCTAGACGAGACACATCTACTGGCTATGCGAAAATTTAATTGTGAATATCTCGAAAATGTTGGGGTAAGAATTTCTCTATGGTCTTGATTCTTCTTGCATTATACCTATATCGTAGATTTTGAATGTGTGCCAGGCGACCTTTAAATGTTTATGTGTAAAGATCCCCCTCCCCATAATCTACCAATAAGATATACGAATAAGTACAAATGTTCTGAAACGCCAATGGAACATCACTCTGAAACTATTAGGAAAAAAGTTAAATATGTAATTACACTGACATAAACAAAAAAACAAGAAAAAAGAGTTTCTCTCTAAGGCCAGTAACTTTAGCGCATTTTCCATGCACAGATCACTACTTTCCCCACGGCTATGTGCTCCCCAAGCATTTTTATGGTTGAAGCGTGGTAAATCGCAAACGAATATTCATAAATAAGAAAGTTAACATGCGCATGTACGGTATTTAAGTTTAAACATGGACGCGGCCGTAGACATGTGGAAATTATCGAATTGTTTGATATGTGTATTATTATTTTTATTTTGCCTTTATTTTTGAGTGGGCTGGGTTTCAGCAAAGGCTGCTCTGCTCTACCAACCCACTAGACATTTACAAATATCTAGTACAGCAGTCCAGCTTCAAATGAACTGCGCCACACGGGTCGGCATGTGTCGGCACTCAATACTGGGATATGATCTCGACAATCAACTGTAGGCTCAAAACAGGGACGAATTATTTATTTCGGGGGCGCATCTATGTGTGTCATACATGGTGTAATTTAAAACAAGTTAAAAAAGTAATTGTAAACGATTTACAAAAAGCGCATTTCCACTTGCATTCATTTCCCATTTGTAAGATGCAACTCCTGTTAAAATCGTAAAAATCCGCCCACATTTATAAAAGATAGCGTTGCATAGGTGCAATCCACTTTTGACTTGCTACTTTAATTTCAGTTTATAAGAAGAATTTCATTTCAATGCTTTCCTAAATAAGAAAGTTGACACTGCGCATCCGCAAACCTAAATTTTGAAACTAACGTTAGATTTTCCTTTGTTCCAAGTGGCTATGTATCAAATTTCATTTAAATGCTTCCATAAATAAAAAAGTTGGCACTGCGCATGCGCAAAACAAAATTTTGAAACCGGTGTTTGATTTTCCTTTATTCCAAGTGCCTATGTATCAAATTTCCGAGCAAATTTCGTTTAAATACTTACTAAATAAAAAAGTTTGCAATTCGGCTTATAAATGGTCGAGATGCGAAAAGGACACCTGTGAATTTTGAATCCATTCGACTCAACTTTTGGCATTGCGTATTACATGGCTGAAGCTACGTCAAAGCGATCGGACATTTCTAAACAAAGATCGTTCACAACGGACAGATACATGGACAGACAGACAAAGGAACAGACGGACAGACCAACAGGCAGAGCAATAAACGCAGAAAAAATTCCTTCCTTGGTGCAAGCCACTACACCATAACGAACTAAATAGCGAAAAACGGAGAACAATTTCTCTTAATCTGTTAAGATAAAGAACTAGTCTAGTAGCGTCTCAACGAACGAGCGGACGGACGGACGGACAAAGTGGCCACATTAGCGCATTTTTTTTGGAAATGCGCTAAAATCGCCGAAAGCTGTAGCGCCTACAGTTTATGTCCGAATTCAATGCAACAAAAACCATATTTAATGACTGTCAAATACCACAAAACGACCACATAATAATAATATGTTAAATGGTATGATTATGTTTTTTTAATTAAATTTGATAGAATTTCTCACCCAAAAAAAATAAAGACTAATTTTTCAAAATTTTGCAGCATGCCATGGAAACAATTCTTCTTACATAATATTGTCTCTATTAAAAATGCTATAAATAATTAAAAAGGTTCTTTTCTTTCGGCCTTGCGTGGTGTTGAAGTGAAGGTTTGTAGGGAGAAGATTCTCTTTTCCTGTCAATTGTCCAAAACTGTTCCTCATTTAGCAATCAGTGCATTTCAATGACTTGATCTGTGTACATGATGTCCTGATATTTTATACGTCTGGGTCTCAGATCAAATTTATGTTACCCAAAAAATTTTAATGTGTTTGTTCAGTAATTGTTGATGTAATAATTGTTCACCAAGAAATGGAGGCGTCCACCATTTTGTTAACGACGTGTTTAGTGCACACAATTTGGTCCCACTGAGGAAGGACAGCAAACTGCGTCCGAAATATTTGGATTACCAATTAAAAAAAACTAAACGAAGTCTGGTTTTTTGAGCCTACTCACCCTACAAACCTTCACTTCAAGCTATAAATAATAGCAATTAAAATGCTGTTCATTCTACAGAAATTGCTGAAATTGGCAACTATTTCGTTCAATGCACACTGACACCTACGAATTATACTGAATTTAACACAACGTTTGGTGGTATTTGGTGACAAGCATCATGTATAATCAGATCTGTCGCAGATCGTCCACATGTCTGGCACTGTTACGTAAACCCGGTTTCAGATATGGCCTCGGAAAAATCCCTCGGTGTGAGGTCGGACGAACGTGCCAGTCATCGCACTGGTCCGTGGGTGCCTATCCACCTTGCAGGAAAATGGTAGCGTAACCAATTTACTATTCGGTAGAACGGTATGTGGTGCGGCCCCGTCTTGTTAAAAATGCAACCCATTTAATTCTTCCAGAAAAATTTCGAAGATTTTCATTCAAAGCGTCATTATACCGATGCGCATTGAGAGTCTCGTCAATAAAAAATAGTCCGATTAATTGTTTACAAGAACCACGCATTAAATCTTCGCTGGAAGTTAGTTTCCACAGTAACTCGCGGATTTTCGGGGTTCCAATGTACAACCGACCCATTAATTTTATCTTTGTTGTATATAAAATTCTTCTGTACATGTGTTTGTCAGTTTGTGACTGAACTCCTAAAGATTTTTTTTTTTGTAAAAATTGTAATTTTACCCATGTTTATTATTTGAATCATAACTTGTTATTTTTATATATGATTTGAAAGAGAAAAAAAACTGTCAAACTGAGTAAAAATCCAATATGGCGTCCATTTAAAATAAGGAAGTTGATGTCAATATCTCGAAGCCCGCAATTTTGAAAAAAATTTTTCTACGGCCATAGAATTTATGTTACTTTTATTTGAAACATTTTTCGATAGCTCTCTTTGTTACTAAAATATTTGAGCTTTTTAAAAATGTCGAATTTCACTTTTTTTTCCATCCATCTACGAAACGATTTATTTTTTCAAAATGCGCATCGGAATATCCATCAGCATAAAAAACTACACAACTTTGCCAATTTAACCGAATCTGTAAGTATAATAATAACAAGGATAGCCATGCTATCCTACTCAATTTAAGAAACCCTGTATTATTTTTTTAATAAAGAAGACAAGGAAATTCAAAATAAACCTCTCGCCAGGAAAGATTGCCGGTCACAGAACACTTGATCCCGGTCTACAATCTTATGTTTTTCTAAAGATGTGAGCGACTTCCAGGATAGTATCGTGTCAATGTTGAACAAAAAGACTTTTCGTTTAACATTGGCACGATCCTATTCCGGAAGTCGCTCGCATCTTAAGAAAAACATAAATTGTAGTTCGAGACAAGGTGTGCTGTGACCGGCAATCTTTCCTGGCGAGAGTTATAGAATAGATTACAGATTTTCATACATTTATTTTTACATTCAGAAAATTAGCCCTCATAGACTAATGTTTTGACAAACATAGGCGCGGCCGCGTGGCTTACAAATTTATGGGGTGTTAAACCTCCAAGAAAATTTGAAATTTGAATACATGAATTGAAATATTTCTGGCGATTTCTGACGATTTCCCATGTTAACAAAAATTACAATGGTGACTTGTCAGCAATTCATTTTTGATCGCATAGTAAATTAAAGACCATTTGAGGTGTAGGTACCTCAAACTGCACGAATTTCGCTGGTATTTCCCTGTCCAGTCCGGCCCTGTTGTAGTATTCTTAACGCACAATATGAAGCTGTACTTAGTTTGGAATTAAATTTTCGAAATTTTCTGTGGGTTTGTCAACACAGTGGCTAATGAAAATTGGCAAAGTTTGATGCTACAAATTCAAATAAGACTGTTTTGTTGCCAAAATGAAAAATAAACTTTAGTAATTATTGTTGTAGCCTACAAATTTTTGTGTACCTTCTTTACTAATACAAATATTTGTTCCAATCTCTGAATTTCCCTCTTACGTCTGTCTCACTGTGCATGCGTAATCAGCGTAATAAATAATGTGAAATCCTTATCTAATTATTTATTACATCATTAGCCAGTAATTTATATGATATAAAATCTTGCACCGAAGCAATTATTTATGTATCTTTCCAACGATATCATTCTCTATGTACTATGGGCATATTAAACTTGGGGAATAACCCCTGCAGTTTGGAAAGCAAGGCTCTTATTGATCAAGAAATTTCTTACGAAATCGAAATGAACGACACCCCGCGCGTTTTATCAATACAAAGTCATGTGGTTTCAGGTTATGTAGGAAATAAAAGTGCAACTTTACCATTGCAGGTATGCATAAGTGCAATTTAATTGAAATAAGCCATCACTTTTGAAAACGCTGCAGACGGTAGCGATTACGAGATCAATAAATAAATAACCTCAATTTTTAGTTACTGGGTTTTGATGTAGACGTAATAAATTCTGTGCAATTTTCAAATCACACTGGATATAAAGTCACTAAAGGACCAATTTTATCTGACACCGATTTAGATGAATTGATTCAAGGACTTGCAATAAATGGGTTAGACACGTACTCTCACTTACTAACCGGCTACATTGGCTCGCCTCAAGTCTTAAATCGAATCGCATCGTTGGTGTCTGACCTAAAATCGAAAAATCCCCACTTAATTTACGGTACCTATGCCTAAAATCGCAGCATCTAAAAATTTGATTTTTAGTATGTGACCCGGTCATGGGCGATAATGGTAAACTGTACGTGCGAAGTGAATTACTACCGATTTACAAAGAACTTGTTACTATAGCAGATATTATCACGCCTAATCAGTTTGAAGTCGAGTTGTTAACAGATAAAAAAGTGAGTACAATTGAGGACGCATGGGATGCAATCGATATTTTACATCAAAGAGGTTGTAAAACGGTAGTTATTTCATCCACTGAATTTGGAAATGATGATTACCTGGTAGCTATGGCTAGTAGCCATGCAGGTAAAAATATTGTGTTTCGAGCGAAATGCTACGAGAATACTAAAAGTGATTTCTTTTTGTTGCAGATGGGCACAGAAGAGCGTTGACAATAAACATTCCCAAATTACCCACGAGTTTCACAGGAACCGGCGATCTGTTTGCCGCTTTGATTTTGGCATGGATGCACAAAACTAATAACTTGAAGAGTGCTCTGGAAAATAGCATTAACACCTTACAGGCAGTATTAAAGAAAACGTGGGATTATGCAAAAGGTAACTCTTCAATTTGAGTTTAACTTAGCCACTTTAATCCTGTTCCAGCTGTTGGAGATTCGCGACATAATATGGAATTGAAGCTAGTGCAAAGTAAGAATTTGATTGAAAATCCGCAACGTGTGGTTTTTGCTGTTGATGTAAATAAGTCTTAAGATATCGATTAATGGTTAATGACTTAGAATCTTGTCTTCCATATCAGTGATGTACCTAGGTAATATATTCGCACATGTGGTGTTGATAACACGTGTTGTAAAAATTTAAGAATATCAACATATAGGTAAATTGTAATGAAATTTTATTGTATAAAGTAAACTGTGTTTAAAATACAATATTATGTTTATTCTTTTCAATCTAATTGTGTCATTAACAAAATTGTCACAGAACAGCAACAGCTGTATGCATTTTTAAAGAACACCTTGTGTTATAGTTTGTGGCAAGGGTACCAATAATTCATAATTCCAACTATTCAGAATAGAGCAATCTTAATTTTGCAATATCATTTGGAGTTGAAGATTTAACAAACATAACTCATATGTCCTGACATTTCCACCTTCTTGAAAATAGTATAGTGGTCCCAAAAACATGACCACAAGTAAGCTGTGGCAAGACTATAATGAACACAGGGGCGTAAATCGGTATTGGTGTCTGGAGCAGAATAATAATGGCCGCCCCAGTGTGTTCGGAAGGAAGGTCAAGGTCAAGTTTTACTGTTCTTTTTGAAACTTAAATCAAATCTTAAAACCACGCAATAATTTTACTTTTCTTGTGTTGCATGCAGAAAAAATCATATCTATAGTCATCCTCATCTGCAAGGCGTCAAAAAGTATCCATAGGAGATGGCAGGTAATTTTTGATCAGTGTCTGATGCTGAGAAACCCCTAAGAACATTTCAAACTGTACCGGCTGACCCAAAAAGACTGTTCCTCAGCCATATCTTGAGAACCGTTCGTCATATGACTTAGGGGTAAAAAAAATTATTGGGTAGATCGGTCATGAAGAATCGCTGGAAAATATTTTCAAGTTCTAAAAATGACCAATAGAAACATCTTACATTTTAAAATTGCATTTTCTTTAAATTTCGCGTAATAAACTAAAAAAAATTTCACATTTTTCCGAAATTCAGTACCAGTTTTTTCACAAAATCATTTAAATATTCTGTATGCAAGTGGTTCAATACGTGCAAGCTTAATATCACCTCGATAAAATTTCAAAATTTTAAGTTCAATTATAAAAAAGCACTATTGGATGAGCAGGACGGTTGAATTTATGAGGTTTGCGGTAGAGGGTTTCCATTACATGCACTATGCGCAATTGTGTCTGTGAGAGTTAGGGTGTTTGTGTGTGGGAGGTAAATTTAAAACTTCTTAAAAAGACTGGTAGGGGAAAAGCTAAAGTGCTCTACTACTGTGTATTCTGTTGTATTGTATTATGTGATGTATTGTTGGGTACATGTGGAAGATCAGCTGTGGCTGAACATGTTACCCTTTGGGCTTGTACCAATAAACGCGAGAATAAACGTATTATTATTATTATTATTAAAGAGAACCAGTTTATCATTTTCGTAAAAACAAAAACTCGGTTATTTCAAAAACAAAGATGGTGTGGGGCGTTCAATTGTTTTTGCAATAACCTGCTTTAACTTCTTAACCGTTTGACTAATTTTAACAAATTTGGTATGGTTGAAAAGAGCATTCTTTGGGCAATGAGAATCAACCAAAATATAGTAAATTTAGTTGAATCCTTCTCCGCCAGGGAGCTAGTTTTGACACTATGATCCAAAGTCCCAAAAAAATCAAATGGAATGATATGACTTTTTCTTTATGAAAAAGTAGCCAAATAACATTCAAAGAGGCCAGTGAAAACCGTTTAACAAAATCTCGTTCCTACCCTCAAATATTGGGAGATTAGTTAATTAATTAATAAGAATGCTTAAATTGTATCTTATTTGACGTATTTCCGGTATTTGTCGATGGCGCGAAAGAAAAGCACCCTACACTTTTAGGTAGGCCTTGGAAAATTAAACAAATGAGACACGATGCATTATAAAAGCCGTAATTTGTAATTTATTCTGCTGTGTTTACATTCAGAAAGTGCAGTTTTTTTAATTTGATGTAATCTTTTCTAAAATGCCGATTTCTAACCAAGAAGCATTTAATATGCTGACGAGGATGGTTCGTGGTCGATTCGGATAACGCAAATAGAAGCGATGGTCGCATTTTGAAAATACTCAAAATATATCGCCAGCATATTAAATGCTTCTTGGACAGAAATCGGCATTTTAGAAAAGACAAATTCAAATTCAAAAAACTGCACTTTCTGAATGTAAACACAGCAGAATAACTTACAAATTACGGCTGTTATTATTTTATAATGCATCTTTGGGTGTTATTTGGCTACTTTTTCATAAAGAAAAAGTCATATTATTCCATTTGATTTTTTTAGGATTGTGGATCATAGTGTCAAAACTAGCTCCCTGGCGGAGAAGGGTTCAACTAAATTAACTATATTTTGGTTGATTCTCCCAAGGAATGCTCTTTTCAACGATACCAAATTTGTTACAATAGGTCAAACGGTTAAGAAGTTAAAGCAGGTTATTGCAAAAACAGTTGAACGCCCCACGCCATCTTTGTTTTTGAAATAACTGAGTTTTTGTTTTTACGAAAATGATAGATAAACTGGTTCTCTTTAAAAATGTGAAAAAAAGAATATTTAGTTTATTATGCGAATTTAAAGAAAATGCAATTTTAAAATTTAAGATGGCAGTTACGCCCTCTGGTGGTCATTTTTAGAACTTGAAAATATTTTCTAACGATTCTTCATAACCTTACCCAATAATTTTTTTTTACCCCTAAGTCATACGACGAACGGTTCCTGAGATATGGCCGAGGAGCACTTATGTATCAGGAATTCAGGACCATAGAACAACAAACTTAGAATGGAAACTCTAATGTAATGTAAAAATGACGCGCCATCTCGTGTATGTTCTCAGCAGCTTTTGCGTGAATGGCGCCAAATTTAAATATTAAAATGTAAGCTACGTCCGCATTATACTGCATTTCTCCGGATCTGTAACAATAACATTGGATTTGACTAGCTGAAACCTAAAAGGTAAATGAATCCAGCCAGTGAAGTCCAATTTTGTTTGTTAGGGATCCAGATAAATTCAGTTTAATGCCGATGCACCTCAACAGTCAGGGGCTTCAAAGAGTACAGACCACTTGTTTTATAAGTAACAACTCCAACTTCATGGAACTCTACTTTAATACTCTCAAGATCGTTCTAAAAGCAAAATATGTAGCAATTTATTACAATTCAATTAGTGTTACCTGCTAAAGATAATGTGCGAACTGCCACACGCTTTAAACCTCTTCGTGTTCCAGGTTCTAAAGCGCAACCAGAAAAATGACGTTCACAAACCAAAAACTTTTGTGTAAATTTCTTCCACATTATATTCTAAACCAATTCTATAAAAACTTCGGGCTCCATTTTTGGGAAACGTCTTCACAATTTGTCACACAACATTTACGTTTTCGATTTGTAGATGCATAATTCATTGTAATAATGAATAGTAATTATACTTAAAGCACAATAAGCCGTCAATCAAAATTCAAAATTCAACTGTCATAATGGCGACACGTACTAAAGTCACTAGATTTAGTAACTTTAACAAGCACTCTATATTTAGCTTAGACCATATAGTACATGGACTGCTATTCGCCCTATGCTTTCAATACAAAATGGATGGTCACGGCACGGATAGAGGGCACTGTAGTCGTGGGTATGTGAATCTCAGGGTAAACAAAAGTCGCACCATTGAGTTCTGCGTATCGACACTGGCTCCCCCAAAAGTGGAGAATAAAAACACAACACGTTGGGAAATATCGGAAAGCACGTGGGCGAAGTTTCTTAAAGCGTGCAAGGAAAACCCCCTACGGATCACACAGGGAGGAACCCCGGAAACCTTAATGAAAGATATATCCACACTATGCGATAAATTCTTCAATAAGAAATGCCCAACGCGACCCGGACGACAAGCGGTCTACTGGTGGAACGGCGAAATCCGCGACGCCAGGAAGGCGTGTGTAGCTGCCAGAAGGGCAATGGTAAGGAATAACCGAAAAAATCTCAGAACACAGGCAGACGGGATTAACCTCAGGGAGCTGTACAAGTCAAGGAAGAAAGTCCTAAAAAAAGCTATCCAAAAGGCGAAGACCGGCGCATGGAAGACCCTCATAGGAGAACTCGACAATGACATCTGGGGGAAGGCATACCAAATAGCCACCGGGAGGATGAGGAGGCGGCAATATACGAGGGTAGAAGACGACCAGCTGGAGGGCATCATTGCGGACCTCTTCCCGACGCACGAGACCCAAAACTGGAAAAGAACATTAACCAAACCAGCAGACGTGAGACCAATAACACCAGAAGAGGTCATAGCCGCTGCAAGAAGAGTAAAGGACAGAAAAGCACCAGGGCCGGACGGAATCCCGCCCAAAGCAATAAAATACATCTTTACGGAGTGCGTCGAAGAGGTTGCGCCGATCCTAGAACAATGCCTCCAGACGGGAAGATACCCGGAGCTTTGGAAAAGGGCCACGCTGGTCCTTATCCAGAAACCCGCAAAGGCGACGGAATCGACCCCTAAATACCGCCCGATTTGCTTATTGGATGTGGCGGGGAAAGTCCTGGAGAGTATCTTAAAAAATCGAATTGAGGCAGAAATACAGGCAATGGGAGCGCTAAGTGAAAACCAGTTTGGATTCCGCAAGGGCAGGACCACCATGGACGCAATTCAGAAAGCCCTCGAAATGGCGACGAATATCATGGGGAAGGCGTCGAAGAACAGGGAGCTGTGCATCATGGTAACCCTGGACATAAAAAACGCTTTTAATTCGGCACCCTGGAGCGGCATTATCGAGGCACTACAAAATGCGAAAATCAGCGACTACCTATTAGACATCGTGAAATCCTACTTGGATAAGAGATTTATCATAGCTCAAGACGGGAGGCTGAGATCGGTGACGAGCGGAGTTCCACAGGGTTCGATTCTCGGACCGACCCTGTGGAACATCTTCTACGATAGGGTCCTTAGACTGGACATGGGCCCAGACATAGTGAGCGTGGCTTACGCAGACGACCTAGCTCTCGTAGCCAAAGGGAGAGACACGAAAAGTTTACAGGACACCTTGAAGTATGGCCTACATAGACTCGCGGCAGAGCTGAAAGGAATGCAAATTGATATCGCGTGGGAGAAAACGGAGATGACTCTCCTCTACGGCGGCAGGAAGGTAAAGGAGATGGAGGTGAGCTTCCAAGAGACGACCCTGGTAACATCGCCATATCTTAAATACATGGGCGTGTACATAGATAGAAACCTGCGCATGACGGAACATGTGCGCCAAGCAGTCAAAAAGGGGAACGCACAATTGGCTCAGCTAACCAAGATCACACCAAACGTAAAGGGCCCAAAACCGGAAAAGCGGAAAATGCTAGCCTGTGTAGTACTCTCGACTGTACTATACGGTGCACCGATCTGGGCAAAGGCGCTGAAGTACGCGCACTACCAGAAACTTTTAGAAAGAGTCAATAGGAAGCTAGCTCTGCGGGTTATAATGGGCTACAGGACGATATCGACAGGCTGTGCACTAGCTATTGCAGGGATGCCCCCGATAAAATATCTCATCAGGGAAAGGCAAGACGCCAACCTAAAAATCCGAACCGGGAGAGCCGCGCGGCAGGAAACCCTCAGGCAGTGGCAGAAGGAGTGGGAGGAATCAGGTACAAACTGGACAAAGACGTTCATCCCAGATGTGGAGCGTTGGGCCAACAGGAAATGGGGAAGCCTGACGTACGAGGCCACGCAGGCTCTCTCGGGGCACGGCAACTTCAGCTACTATCTGGCCAAATTTAAAAAGAGAGAGACCAGCGCGTGCGCTTACTGTGGCGCCGAAGACACGCCAAGACACACCATCTTTGAATGCGTGAGGTGGGAGGAAGCAAGATTGAAGGCTGGTATAGAGTGCGGTACAAACATAACTGTGGAGAACGTGGCACAAGTAATGATGAGCAACGAAAGTGGGTGGAAGGTAGTCATTAACATGATAACAGATATACTAAAAAGGAAAGTTGACAGATAAACGGAGCCATACTACCGCCTACCTTGAAGTAATGTCGGCCGACGGTTCCAAGGTAGAGCGCAGAGCGTAAATTGGGGAAGGGTTTTAGTGGGTGAAAGTCCCACACTATCTCCACAATAGAACGGCGACGTGGAGGTGTCCGGAAAGGATTTCCCAATCCCAAAAAAAAAAAAAAAAAAAAACTAAAGTCGTGTAAACACCACTAGGATCGCTTAAAGAGCAGCTTTATAGTAACCGCGTAGTACGGGAAGCTTTAAATGCTCTTCATTATTTGCTATACGTCCACAAATAAGAATAAGTTTGCTTTTTTTGGGATATCTAGGCGATTAATTAATTGACGTTTGTTAATTTATAGGTTGACAGTCTCAAATCGTGTCTCATCGGACAACTTCGGACAGACTCGTTTACCCTGAAACGCACATACCCAGGCGATGTCCTTGACCATATTTTAGTTACAATTAGCAGTCCATGTACTATATGGTCTAAGATATTTAGTGACTTTAACAAGCACTCTATATTTAGTGACTTTAACAAGCACTAAAGTCACTAGATATAGAAAGTACCGCAATCATCCGCCATTTTTGGGCAAATTTGCTGCCAACCTAAAAAAATTGACAAATAAAATCTGAATAGCTGTCATTTTTTATAACCTAACTTCATAGTACTGTCATGTTTTATAAAAATATATACAGATATCTCCAAACAGGTGGAACAATCCCTAACATTAAAGATACTAGAATCTGCGGGAGTTATTCATAATAACCGGTGACTGTGACTATGATAATTGAAGTAGGAAAATTTATTGAACAGCCTCCAGAATGATTTTTTTTAAATTCAATATCTTCGTAGTTTCCTAAATGGCAGTAGTTTCCCTTCCCCTAAAGTTTAAAAAGGAAATGAACCATAAATTTATCACAATGACATTAATTACTTTCACCGTAACACTATACTTTTACCAATTAAACGTGTGGTACCGCAGGAAACAATGCAAACCAACACTCGACAACATCGAAGATGTTGGATGGTCCATATAAAGTAATATTTGGATACCTGTCCATCTTACTGTGCTCACAGAAACTGTAACACTAGAAGTACTGCCAACAATAATTCAAAAAATTTTCCCGCAGAGTGAAGTTTATGTTGCACAATAATTGATTTATCGACTTTCGTATTTTTTTCTGATAGGTAATGTAGTTACATTATGTTTTCAATATAATATGCAGAACAGCTGCGCTTTCCATTTGGCATTATAGTTTTTGGCATGATTTCGCTCCACTACAGGTGACAAGCCGGCTATCCGGCCGGCGCAGATAGCAGCCAAGCAAGTGCGCTGCTAGGCGGACCGCGGACGCGCATGAGCTGCATATAGAAATATCATTTACTCGAAAACGGTAAGACCTATCACTAAAATTCTTTCACCAAAAACTTTTGGTGACTATCAGCTACAATTCGTACGATACATGTAGAGATTCCTCAAATAATAAAAAAGTTTCTCGCAGAGTGAAGTTTACGCTTCTCAATAATCGATTTATCGACTTTGATGGCAATTATGATAATGTAGTTATATCATGTTTTCGATGTAATAGGCGTAGTTAGAAGCGCGTACTATTTGGCATTATAGAACTGAAACAATTATAACAATCACTCGTGCGGGAGCCGAGATATTCCGGGGTAAATCTCTAAAAACATAAATTTTTATGAAGACACTTTTGAGTGGTTTTTTGACTGTAAAAAATGTCATGACCACCGGAAAATGTCGTAAAAGACCATTTCGGATGCAGAATTACAATATCTACATACTCTACTAGGTCTGATCATGTTATACCTTCAAAAATTTTTTTCCCATTTCTAGACGACTTTTTTGCCCGATTTCGCTCCACTATTAGGTTTTGAACTAAATATGTGCGATTGTGATCAGCATCAGTATAAAAAATGCCATAAGAGTGCGCCAGAGGAAGTATGATAGACCAAGAGCAGACTTTCTGTGTTTCCTCAGTTTAATTTAATTAGCAATAAAATATAAAACTCATTTTAAAAAAAGCAATGTTCCAGAAGTCCAGGTTTCCTATAGCGAAGACTTAAAATGCCAAGTATTTGTAGCACTTCCGTACTGGGATATTTCATAAATTTATCTCTTGTGCCCAATTGAAATGTTTTCCTTTGTTTTTTTCACATTCTCTACATTTTTCGACGACTTCCCGAGAAGAAAAATTCATATAACCCAAAGCGGCGCGTGGGTCCTAGCCAGCTAATAAACCCAAATTGTTTACTCCTGTGCTCGATATGAGGCAAAATAATATCAAAAAATCCTTTATCGATCACCAATTTTGTTTATTGCGATATATTTCAATAATGTATGGTTTTGAAAAATATAATAAAAAGGCTGATATCATCAAGTGCTACTGAAGAATTCGATTATAGGTTTAAATTTGCATTTAGATCGAATTACGCACTGTATAAAATATTGATCACATCATCAGTTGCTATGGTAACAACTACACACACACTTTCGAAAATTTGTCCTAATCAAAGCAATTTACTTCCACAACAATCCAAATGGCTGAATCAGGTAAAAACCCACTTAAGAATTTGGTTTAATACAACACATACTTTTCTAGGTGACCTTATCGACATAGATATCTCCAACGAATGCCAAAATTCTTCAGATCAATACTTTTACAACATAATTGGATGCATTGAAGACATACTGCTGGATGACCGGTTTGTTCAACTGCATTCCAATTTCATGGAACAATATTGGATACATTTCGAAGAACAGGACGAGAACAAATTTATTTACAGCGACATTTTTCGAAAATATAACGAGACCATTGAAAAATATATCGAGGACCAACTGATGAAGCAAGTAGATAATTTTGATATGAATCGATTAGAAGAGGAACTAAAGTAAGTTTGACTTCATCGCAAAGTGTGGAAGGTAAAGTGAGTTGTAGGAAACGAGAGAATGAGTTGGATGGAGAGATTTTTGAAATTCTGTCGACATTTACTAATTTTTTGGCGTTCAAAGAAAAGTTTCTGGATTATAAGGCTGTAAGTTTCTATCTTCTAGTGACAAATATACTATAACTACAGAATCTTTTCAGATGAAAGAAGGAAAAGTGATGGATTTATCAAAACATTTTATTATTTCAAAGTATGAAGCAGAAACTGCATTTTAATAAAACTCGACAGAAACAGTTTATTTGTAAGAAAGTATGATGTAGCCATGTCGGGCAAAAAATAAACGTATCAAAAATTAGTGCATTAATATTTCCATTTGAACAAGTCTGCTGTTGATATCACCAGGCATTCGATACGGTAACATTCCTGTGAAACTTGTCAGAGTTTTTGCCTGTTCACGTATAAACTCCAATTGCTGAAAGAGTATGTCGTTATTTGTACTGCCTAAATGATTATTTATTGTTACCGTTTCCTTTGAACTGTCATGGTACTTCATGGATGTGAAATCGTTAGACTTGATGCTCTGATATTGAGCAAAGTAAATATTGATTGTGGCTAAAATAATATCGGGAAGTACTTTGACAACATTCGGGTTTAACCTATCGAAACCACTGATTCGTTCATCTAATTCTCTTGGATGTAGTGGTAGTATCTGAATTTCAGTCAAAGTCTGAAATCATTTTGATTACTTTACTACCTACATGTCGCACGTTAATACAGTCAACATTTAAATATGTAGAATGCAAGAAACTTACCTGTAAAGCCATCTGATACTGCTTTGTGTGGTATTCGTCGAAAAATTTCAACAAATCTTTCAACAGAAGAAAAGTTGAGACCGTACTCTGGCTACAGTTGTATCCAATTTTTGAGTAATGTGCTGCATATTCATAGGCCTTGTGGGATAGTTGTTGACGTAAGGATCCCTCTGTTGTCTGAAGATGTACAATCTGTGGCAACAGTGTGCAAAACAACCGTAAGACTTCCTCTTGATTCTACAACATGAAATTTTGAACTCACTTGACCCCTAAAAACAATGGCTCATACATTTATAATATTGTAAACTTCAATTGCATCCTCAAATACGCCTTTATTCTTGAGCGCTTCCCCTAACGAATTCAACACATCTTCCATCTTGATATCATTACCAATAAAATCATCTAAAAATCCTCGCGACCTCATTCCCGTACTTTCCATTTTTCCAAATAACTTTCCGTATTGGCGTGTCTCGATGGCTAGATCGATTATACATTTAATAAACATATTCTCGTTTTCATTCTTAATATTCTTCAACATATAATAATAGTTCACTGCCTCCCCTGGCGCCATAGCTTCGAATTTTTGCACGTAAATTAGTATGTAACGACAAAGATTTAATCGACGACTTGGTTTAGTGTCCGCTGGATCAATGCACACTTGAAAAACGGTCACTTGTATTTTCAAAAGGCTATACAAATACTACTTACATAATGGCGCAGTGGGTGCTTTCGGTAGGGCTAATAGGTGCATTTCGTTTAGTGCAATTGCCATGTGAGCACCGTGAATTTGGTACTTCTCAATACGCGCGAGAAATTCTAACGCTGCTTCAAATTGGCCAGTTAGAGCTAGGACTTGGAAATAGACATGCGGCTGATTCATAGCGTTATAGTGAACTTCGCCATACTGTTCCAATACAGTTGCCTAAAAGAATAAGGATAGACCAAACGTAAAATACTGCATTATGTGCAAACATCTCATAATGAGCACCGATTCTTACAGGCTAAAGAAAAGTGATTAAATTAGGTTTGGTGTATTTTAGGAGGGAATGACTTATCATCTTATCATAACATTGAAAAAGGAATTGGCAACAAAAATATGACAAAGATAATAAACATACCTGCAAATTCGCAAATGCTTCCGAATCATCTCGATCACATTCAAACCTAAGGTAACTAAGCTTTAACCATAAGTAATCATCTGCAGTTTTCGCAACTTCGGAATGTTCATCAGTCATCTCTCCACAACACAATACATCGTAGACTATCCGCTTAAAGGGATCTGTTGAATTGTGTACTGTACATTTATACTCCTGCTTGATAATTCCTTCTAATGTCGCGATTTCCGCACTACCTGGCGTTTTAATTTTCAACTCCAATAACTGCATTATATCCCCGGCATCAAACCTTCAAATTTTTTTGTTTAAATACGCAAATCGTTAAGGGAATTTGCTTACGCCGCCTTTTTTAAACAATATAAAGCTGCGGATAAATCGCCACTACGAATGCAAAAGTAGATGACCGGCCAAACAGGTCGATCGTCGACCATTCCACCCTCCAATCCGGCATATTCCCCTTGCAGGCGAACACTAACGAAGCTCCTCACCAACGAATATGTACCGGGAACACCACCACGTCGCGCATTGGTTAAATCTTCATTTATAACATTCGTCATATACGTCTTGTACCTATTTACCAACAGTATTAAACTCATAGTTTTACTTGAGACAGTATACAAACCTATCTTCTAAATACTTTTTAGCTTGACCAACTAAAGTTTTTATCATTATCTTATGGTAGCGAGTAACTAAAGGGCACTCGTTTAATGGAAGAGCGGGAAGCTGAGTCATGTACTCCATAATTTCCCACATATCGTTTACTTTCTAAAAATTGCCGCAATTATTTTTCCAATGTACGCAGGGGTCTGACCACAATGTCCAACCTAATATTCCCAGCCTAGTGTTAAGCTTCTCACAACACCCCATCGTCGATACAGGCTGAACCCCTAATGACGTCCGTATATAAAGTCAACATCAATATAATGGCTGTTTGATTTTTTTTCATTGCACATATCGCATTTGAGTTAATGAGGCGATAAACGTATTATTTATTATCATTGTTTATATTTTTTCATCTATTCAGAATAGAAATTATAAATTGCGATTACACGTCGCTAACTAGATGCGCACAGTTTTAATATACAGGCGTTTGGCAGGTTCAGGATATTTGTAAATGTATAGTGGATTGTGTTTGGTACAGCAGCCTTTGTTGAAACCCTGCTCACTTAAAAATAAAAGGCTAAAAATAAACCAGTGACATCTAATTGGACAGTAATAGTCATTTAAGCACAATGTTCGTTCAAAATACCAACAAACCTATCGCTTCGCAGTCCAAAGAGCCTTTGTAAAATGAGTCGTTAGTTATGCGCCGGTAATAAGACGGTATAGGGATATTCTAAGTAACCATTGAGTGAATTAATTTTTACGAGATGGTTAGTTTCTCGTTATCGTCGTGTATAATACAAAACAGCAGAACAATGACAATTCCGACTTTACTTTAGACGTCAAAAATAGCATGCTGAAGGTCTCACGTCGCGGTCATTTCCATAGGAATGGCATTGTACATGTTTTGAACGTCATTTTATATCGTGCTCCACGTCCCATTTGAAATCAGATTGACAGATGTCATTAGAATGCACAATTATCTGTTTCACTTTATCTACCATTGCGGCTAAAGTGATCACTTTATCTACCCTCACAGTTAATGAGCGACTTAGCCTACTCATTCATCTGATATAAAATAAAATAATAAAAATAATACTTATTTTGAAGAACACATGCAAAGCGTTTTTGAACCCCGTGTAGCTTTAATTAAGGATAAAATTAATAATTCTTCCATATGCAATGCAAACCTTTGACCTTGAACATTTGCAAGTAGATATACATATTTCTGAAAGGTTTACTATTTTGCTTATAGAGGGAAATTTTCTTAAATGGGAGTTATTTGGGAGTTAATTTCTGATTAATAAATTCTTGAAAGGGGGCAGAATTTGAAAAACAACTGTCGTTTGTCGCGTGTAATGTTCGTTACCTGTAGCCATCTATGCCATGCATTGAAATGGTTTTTTTAAGTATAGTGATGTGTGCAATGGCATGCTGGCACTACACCACCCACAAAACACCTGTCCAGCTAGCTCAAAACAAATAAAAATTGAGATGTTTATATCTCCTTATACACATGCAGCATCTGCTAGAAGAAAAATCACAATATTGACTTCAAATTTCTCAATTTGAGGGACTGGTTGCCTCGATCAACTTCCGAAAATAACCTAATCTCTGAAATAAATCTTGGATACGAATAGAAAAATCTGACATGAAAACTCCATCTGGGTCGCACAAAGGATTCGAATAAACACCATTAATTTGACTGACATTGACGAAAATTTATTTCGTAACACATGAAACAATTAAAACAAAATCCATGAAAGAAAGAAAAGCTCACGAAGTCGATAAATAAAATTGAAAGAATTTTAAATTACTTCGTTTTTTTTAATAATCCAAATAATTTGGCCGTGAAAGGTGAAATACACTATCTATAACCGTAGCGACAATAGCAACAGCAATAGCAGCAGCGGCAGTAGCCTCATTTTAAGGTTGTTTCCAATATTTAAAGAAATACCACCATTTTTCAAATCCGCCAACCACAATCGGAATAGCTTCGAAGGAACGCGCAAAACGTCCCCAGTTACGCCGAAATAAAGCGAAATTCTTCGAAACACTTGCGTCTTCGGTATTAGCACTAGATGTGCGTTAATTAAATTTCGCCTGTTAAAACTCCTTATCGCAAACGACCAGATGTGTCTTACATTTTAAGATGGAATTTCACGTTATAGAATTAAAAATCTAAATAAACAATTTATAACAGCGATAAAATTTGAACAAAAGTTACGCAATTACGAACAATTCCCGAAAGAAAAACAACAATGAGAGGTCAAATTCAAATAAAATAAACCAACTTTGTGTTTATTTGTAAGTAATCCACCCGATTTACTTAATAAATTGAAATATTCTCATATACAGAATATCTCGTCATTACTTTTGGTACCACCCTACATATTTTGGAGTTTTTAAAAAAGCGTAAAATTTCGTAGTAACTTTGTTTACTTCTGCCTCTAGTAGTGCTCAATAATTTATTTACTTTGATTTAATACAACTTTAGCGCAGTTCTCCGTTCTCGCGCACTTGAGTACTTTCCAAAAGGCTATAACTGTTTTTCTTTACTAAAAGCATCTATGGTTACAATTTCAAAGAAATATCTCAATAAATAAGAAAGTTGGCATTGCACAATATACGCATTCGCGCATCTTATTTTTGCAATATGTGATATGCTTGCTTTTACTACTAGGATCTGTGATTAAAATTTCAAAAAGATATCTCAATAAATAAGACAGTTGTTCGTGCGCACATTACTCTGATACGTTTGCTTTTATGAAAAGCATCTTTGTTTAAAACTTCAGACAAACAGCTCCATAGATAAGAAAGTGGACATTGCGCAGTGTGCGCACATCTGATTTTTACTATATGGAATACGTGTCTGTGATTAAAATTTCAACAAAATATTTTAATAAATAAGAGTTGATATTGGGCAGCCTGCGCATGCGCACAGTGATATCAAGATTTTTCTTGGCTCAGGTGCCAGAGCTAGAAGCTATCGAATTCAAAAAGAACAAACTAAATATAAGGAAAACTGTAAGAGTAGTTAAGGCCTCGAACAGATGGACGGACTTCGTTGGAAAATGCGCTAAAAATAGGGTTTATTTTTTTCGAGATTTTTTCACAAAAATAAAGAATACCCAATACAATACCTTGGAAATACATCAAACATCCAGTTACCACCAGTTCTTGATCAAGTAATCCAGTTAAACTTATCTGACAGATTGTCTTATACGAATACATTTGCTTCCATGGAAACTAAATATCAGACGGAGTTAACTGTGACATGAAAAACTGGTCCAAAGTTAGCCATAGATCTAGTTTTTTAAATTTTTTGTTGCGAACATAAATAAGTCTCTTGGTCAAAGATTATTATTTACAAACAATACAAAATTCTTCAGAAAAGTAAGAAACTGCAATAATATGACCAACTAATTTTAAAATTGGTTATTGTCGCCATATTTTAAATTGGGAGTTGTGGTCATAATTAGAAGTTGGGCATTACAGTCATTGAGCATTGTGGTCTAGACCCCTTACCCACATTTTCCAGTTAAGATACCGTATTGTTGAACTCCTTTGCTGCAGTAACGAATTCTTTTAACAAATGTGGCCGCTTGAGACCCTGATAAATGTTTCGATTATATTGAGCAAGCACAGCTGCGAATATTCCTTCTTGGTATCCCAATTTGCTAGATGGTGTACGACGTGGTTCGGTAAAAACACTGGATTCGTTTCCAACATACATAAAGTCTTTAGAAGCAGATGTCATGGCATTTATAATTTTGATTCTCTCTTGATTCCACTCTGACTTTTGATGTTCCCACGAGGTCGATTTGATTACATCAGCTGACTGCAAGTACCTATGTTATCACACCACCTCAAACTACTCATTTCTTTACCTTTTGAAATTCCTTTTCAACAACTCCGAGAATGAGATTTTGTAAGTGATTTTCAAGGTATGAATCCACATCAGTGTCGTAAGTCGGTTTGAGAGGTTCGAAAGTATGTTTCGTACTGATATTTTCGAGTTTCTGTACGATTCTTGGCAAGTCAACTCCTTGCGAACCAAGCAGCAAATTCCTAAAGTTGAATATCTCGCAACCTCTATTAATGAAGAAGTATAAATACTTACGCGTGGATATCTTGCGCACCCGAATGAGCAACGCGACTGTAAAGATCCTGAGAGTCTTCGAGCACTTGTCGCAATGAACGTTCAACTTTAGGTAGTTCCGAAACCCCTTCAATGGTTGACGTTAATTTCTCCGCTTCTTGAAGAAGCTCGCTAAAGTCGGAGGTGTCCATTTTCTTGTTGTATTAGAAAATGCAAGCGAGACTACGAAGATTTTTGAAATACAACTTCCTAACCAAACATTTACAAAACCGACACGGTTTGTATTTATTTTCGCATCGTAGTGGCGACGTTGCCATGTCATGTCTATTGTAGATGACCGGCTTTGATATACAGTGCCTTCCAAAATTAATTAAACCCACGCTGTAAATTACCTCGTAGTACATATTCAATGCTCATAATAAAAAATATTTATATCACATCCTATTTATCAAAGACTATAGCGTGTTGCCTACCTACACATTTTTGCTTGAATAAGGGGTCTATGATTCAAACCCATGGATCATTATATTGAAAAGGAAAAATCCATCGATGGTACTGTCACCTATTCACGATTCAGATTAACAATGAGACCTCTGGTGGTAGCACATTGTAAATTCTCGCCATTTTGTTTATTTACAATGGTCAAATGTAATCAATATTGTGTGTTTACGGCTGTGAGAGTAAATACACTTGCAAAAATTTCATTTGCAATCAATGTAATTTAATTACACCTTAAAACGTCACATTTTACTACGATACTTCCAAAAATTTTAAATGTCACCAGTGCAATTATACAGGGTGATTCAAATTCGAGAGCCACCATGGGGATTTCGGGAACTGTAAGAGATAGGTAGGTAGTTTAAATTTGGCAAAGTTGCGTATTTTGATGCTTAACAAAATGCAGTTTTGAAACTTAAAAATTCCGACTACTTTCGGAGATATCCGGAAAAAGCCGAAACTTTGCAAAAAATGATACATTATTCTGACCACTTTTGTCCCTCTACAAGATGCCACTTTAAGTTTGACGTTTCGTCTCCAGTCAACCATCATCGACTTTGTTTTTTCTTATGGAAGTAATTTTTACTTTTTGTGTTATTTGATGGAAATTTTTTTTTATATAGGTATGTAAACATCACTATCTTTTAATCATAATAGCGCTATTATTTCGTAAAAACGCAAGAAACTACGTACGTTCACTATCTAAGACGAAGTTTTCTATTTTTTATGGAGTTATTCTTTTTCCAGTGATATAATTTCTAGGTGGGTATAGGGGAGACCAGGTAAATCATATTTTTAATAATTTTTTATTGGCGATCGATTTCGGGCATGATATTGCCCATCATCAGGCCGTGCGTCAGAAATATGTTGAAAAACGAATATGGTACATATATTTTTTATTTAAGAACCTTGCGTGTCCAATCAGTGTAATTATAGCGTGGTGTGTTGTGTTTTTTGTGACGTTCTACTGTTCTACACAATCAAGCTTTATGTATTTAAATTCCTTGTTTCGATCTTCCTAGAATAACCTAGATATTTCTGGTGTTAAGGTAAATCAATTAAGAACTGACCATGGTCTTTCTAACTCGATGTTATTTAAATGGAATGCCATCCAATAAATAATCATTCGAATTTACACTGTGTCCAAGATAAGGATGGCTATCATGGGGATCTCCGAAACCATAGAAGGTACGGCGATGGTCAAATTAGAGAAAGGAGGCACAATTAAAGAGTTACTGTTATGCTTTAAACACCAGAAAGTTCCGATTACTTCCGAAGATATGTAAGAAAAATGGAAATTTTCCGATTTCGTTGTTTTATGTTCTCCATCTATAAGTTACAAAAAAAATACAATAGTATATTGAAAGACAAGTGTTACAATGCGACCTATTGTAATACGACTATCTTGTGGCACGAGTGGCGACGCGAAGCGTAGCCACGAGTGTCCGCAAGATAGGAGTATTACAATAAAGCATTGTAACACGCGTTTTTCATACTATTTTTTCTATTTCGGTGCTTTAATTTAATTAAAAAAATCATTATCAGAAACTATAGGGAACATTAGAACTAACATGTTTTATGTTGGGAACACTTTTTATGCCGTTAAGTTTTAGGTTGGCAGCGTAGTAAGACTGACATTTTGAAGTTCAAACATGGAAGTACCCAACGAAGTACCTACTGCACTAACTAGAACTGCCAATATTTCCTAAAAAAAACGACTATAATCACTGTCTTTGTGCCGAAAACAGTTGTACAAAATCATCATTGGGACACCGAAATAGAAAAAAGACATTGGCACTATTTGAGCTCTATGATACATGGTTGACAGATTTTCAATACAAAGTTTTGTTTGGAGAAATCATCATCAACGGTATTTTTTTATATGGCCCTAAAAAATTTGATTCTGACGATTTAGGATGAGTATGACAATATCTCTATGCCCCTTATATATGAAAAAATGAATTGATGGTATGCAAATTATGGAATCGATACGCATAAAAAGATGTCAGTGTCTGCCTGCGAAAAGATACATTGGTGTCTTCAAACTAATAACGCTACCCTCGTATACTAATAGAGGTCGCTATTTTTGCATAAGGGATGATATACCAACCTATAGTACAGAACGAGCCATTTCGAAGAGAGAGTCGAAAGGGGGCGAAATGGTGCAGTTTGTGCAATCGTATCATCCCTTAGAGACCCCAGAAAACAATATATCAACAATGCCGTGCCTGAATGTAATTTTAAAGAAGCCAGTAGGGTTTTATCGATACTATGAGAGGATGTTGCGTGGGCCGCGAAAACAGGACTTGCTATGCTAGCAAAAGCTCCAGTATAATTCATTTGCGCGAACGTTAAAACGCTTCCGTATCTGATTTTCTCGATCTGTTTTTTCGGACTAAAAACATTATACTGAGTTCATTTCAAATCAATAAACGCTCATGCATTATTATTTCATTTCATTTATTTATCTTTGCGCGTTGCACGTAATTAAATTACTTATCTAAATTTACCTACTCACGGAAACCCCACGCGCCTGGAGCTTTGGGATACATACCTACCCGTTTCGCAAACAATTTCATTACATAAAGCCATAAAATTATCTCGAAATTTAAATAACGTGAAGAAAAGTTCGGTATGGTGCGCACGTGTTGCGGAACAAAGTGGAGGCAGCGTCCTTTGACTGAAACATTGCGTGGGTGTGCAGACATTCGAGCTTTTGGAAAATTAACGTCAACTTATAAAATTGCGTCCGGAATTGGTAGGTAAACATCAATTTGAGGGTAGCGTATTTTGAACTTCATTACGTTGAATAAAGAGCTTGGTTACTAAATAGCAATCTGATATCTTTATCCCATCTCCAGCTTTGTACACTTCATTGACCCAGTTCTTTTCGTTCCTTTCCCTAGCTACTATCAACCTATTTATGTTTTATTCTTTGCCGTAATGGTTTTTCTGGATAATTTTTGGCGCATTTTTCCAAATGGGAAAGCAGCTATTATGACACTACTCTATTTGTCTATCGGTCTGTCCGTTCCTCAACATTTTGGTTTTCGTATAATCTGTGTTTTGCCTTGTACCGTCTGAACAAAGGATAATTCAAGCGCTTTCTTAGTCTTGTGCCTTGTTCTCCATTTAGAACCATTTAATTTTTCTAAGACATTTTTGCACGTGATGGCACTATTGCGGAAATTGCTGCACCTGATCCAAAAAGGCAAAAATTTGCAAGTACAGTTGTCACCAAATAACTGGCCTGATAGATAATAAATTACCTATCTTGCACTGGTTTCTAGTGTCGCGCCACAAAAATCGATTTGAAAATTTTCATTTTATTCGTACAATTTGAGCTCGATATACATAATTTAATGCCACAACGATTCTCACTTACTACGGCCGTTTGTATCTATAGCAACCGGGCGTTCATAAGAAGACATCCCTGAAAATTGTGGCTGTGTCTGCGGCTGGCAGTGCTCGCGAAATTGCGGCGTGGAACAGACGCAATGGCGTAAACCCCTTACGTAACATAAATATGTTCCCCGACACGTAGTGGTAGAGATTTTACTTTTACTCATCCGCCCAAAAGAAATTTTTGTTACGATCACCTTTCGGTGCCTTTATTATAGGCACAATGAAAAAGCTAAGCAAAGAAGTCCAACTGGAGAAATGCCGCTTACTTGATAGTTGTAGCGAAATTGTCTTTGATAAGCCAGTGGAATCGAGCGAAGATGGTAAGTTTGGCGTTTTCCTTATTTCACACCATGCAATTGTCATACGTTTGGAGACATCGCTTTTCTCCGAGCTTTTCTCGTATTGATCAATTTGAAACATGTGGAAAACACGAACAGCTTGAAACCATCGCATGACTTAAAGCTCTAAACTGAATAGCACTGCAATGCAATTAAATGTTTCAGCGCTTTCTTTCATGTGTCGATTGATTTGGGGCGCATATTTAATTAGTGGTCGAATATTGTAGACTTCCCTACTTCCTTAAATAGTAAATTAGTCTATCGATCGGTTTTGTAATTTATACTATAATTCTATATTTAGACTAGAAAACTTTTGTAAAATTCGATTTCGTTTCACTCTGGTATTTTCATGGGATCATCTCCACGAATTCATTGGATTGTTCCATGTTCCATTCTGGAATTAGACAACTTCTGCCTTCGCTTTTTACCAATTAAAAGCTTAAAAAGTTTGCCTTTTTGCCTCGCTTTTTGCAAACTCAAAATTAGTATCTACCAACTTCTCTAATTAAATGAAAATCCTTGAGGAAACACCGTCGGTATACCGTTTCAACTTTTCTGATTACTAAGTTTGTAACTCTCTTGTTACGTAGGTATACCTACTTATCCCTACAGGCATTGATTATATACTTACATATAATCAATGCTACAGGGCTTTAATTGCAAAACGAACCACTGATTTTGATTAAAAACAAGTATATAAAAGTAGAAAAGTACTCGATGTGTCGAGCTACTTAAGCGCATTTTTGTGATACGCAGGGTGTAGCCAGGGCCGGATTTACCATGAGGTCATGTGGGCCCGGGCTCATATCGGCAAATTTTTAGGGGCGGCAAAAAAATAAATTTGGGAAGTAATTCTACAGTACTATCTAGGATAACGCACACTCTTACCAACTTAAAAGTAATAATGAAATATGGAGTAACATAACCTCACATTTCAACGAAATTATGTGAACTGTGTATTAATATTATGGACAATTTAGGGCTTCTCCCGCAATTTTGTTGTTGAAAACTCTTAATTAAGGTGCCCTCTAGCCATTTTACCAATTTTATGATTGTACCTGGAGATCCTGGTGGATATCTTAATAACTCCACTGAAAAAGAAACTTGAAATACGTTATTTGAAATTGATATCTTTTATTATTTTGGAAAACCACTTCTGAATTTCACATTGTAAATATTACGTAATAACGTATAATGTTTAAAACTAAAATTAGACTTAGTGCCATGATCATCTCCTGTTGATGTAATAATGTGGAAATATTAATTAAAAAATGAGTATATTTCTTTAAAAATTAAACAGTTATTTGTTTGTAATTCAAACCACAGATATTATATTTTGTTTCAATAACACTTTATAAATCCCATAATTAATAATATAAAAAATGTTTTACTACTAATTAAATCAATCTGAGCAAATTAGGAGAAAGAAAATCGTTCGAACACATTTCTGTAAAGAGTAAAATATAATTTTGGTTGGGGTATAAAATGCTTTTAAGTGGTGGGGGGAGAGGGGGGCGATTTCGAGGGGCCCATAGGCTCAAAATATGTAGATCTGGCCATGGGTGTAGCAATTTCAATGTCAAAGTCAGGTAGCGAGAGGACCAAAACAAACGTTTCTTTGGTTTGCTTGGCTACGATTGTGGGTACGTTCTTTCCGATCACGAACAATTTTTTTAAACATTCCTCCTCCAAGATGGCAGACTCTTAAAAACGAGCTTTTAAAAAGGTTTTTTTAAAGCATATGCAAAAACTGTGGAACTGTATCCAGTAAATTTCTTGAAATTCTGACTTTTTTGTCAAGAATGGCAGATGGAATTATTCTTCGAATTTTCAGAAATGAATTTTCAATTGCGTCTTTCTATCGGTTATGGTTTATGAGAAACCAAATAAAGAATAAACATAATTCAAAGTTTTGGGACTTTTGGGGCGTAGCTCTCATAAGAAATGTTGTGGACCCTAGGTTTATTTAAAAAAAACTGTATACAATATAACAATATAACGAAGAAGTGATTAGATTAGGTTTCGGGGATTGCAGTTACTGCTCGCACGCTACCGTGTGGTGGGTTTGGTAAGTAAACGTACATGTTCGGGGGGACAAAGCACTTGCCCGTGCTACTTCCTTATATTTTTGCAAGGATTTATTGTTATAATTTATAGTACTTACGGCCAGTTGCACAGACATTTGATTGGTTTTAAATAGCAGTAGGCAGCCAATCAAATGTCAAAATCCTTGGTTAAACTCAGATTTGGCAAATAATGTAGGATTTAGATTATAATTCGCTTTCCTGCAACCGGCCGTTAGTTGTTTATAATGTAGCGAATATTCCAGAAATCTCGCTAGACTTCGAGGCGCCATGAAAGATTGTTAGTTTATGTGAATCAGAAAAATGAAGAAAGTAACACTGTCTAAACTGCCCTAACGCGGTATAAATATCGCCGGCAAATAACTGACCCAAGAATTGTTATGGAGTTCATGAAGAATTGGTTGAGTCTGAGAAGGACTAACTTGAAACGTTGTTTCTGATTATGCAAGAGCAAAACAAAACATTCTCGTATAGGAGATATAGGTACATTAAAACAGTACCTACGTTTTATAGCGTATATTTGTCGAGTTTGGTAAAACAAAACCTATATAGCGAAGCATTATCCACAGAAGGAATTGAAATTACTAACCTTAATTCAAAATAAACGTGTAAACAAATATAGCAAACCAGCTCTTGGGTATAGCTATAGCATGTGCAAACCAAATTTTGAACCTGGTGTTAGATTTGCTCTTATTCCAAGTGTATAATATGTATAAAATTTAAATGCTTTCGTAAATAATAAAGTTGGTACATTTTGAAACTGGCGTTGCATTTTCTTTTAGCCCAAGTGCCCAAGTTTGCGATTCGGTTCAGAAATAGTCGAGATGCGATAAGGGCATTGTGAATGTGGCTCGATTAGGCTCAACTTTTGCCATTGCGTATTATATGCCTAAAGCTAAGCCCATTGAATTTCATGCAATTCGGTTCTAACGGAGATGTCAAAAAGGGCCTTCATTATTTTTTGGGCTATATTGCCAATTCACGAACTCCGATTTAAAAATTTGATAAAGATTCCATCTACAAAATTTCATCGTAATCGGTCAATTCGTTATCGAGATATCGTGCTAACGGACAGACGTACAGACACCGCAAAATTATAAACTCGTTAAGAGCTCGCTAATAAGGATGACTGATATTAACGGATTTTCCGTTGTTATCTGCCAACATAACGTGTTTTTTGTAAAAACTACAATTTTGTTGAGAGAAGCTCTGTATGTTTTTAACGCATTTCCACAAAAATAAAAAAAATGCGCTATTGTAGCCACTTTGTCCGCCCGTCCGTCCGCTCGTTCCTTGAGACGTTACTAGTTCTTTATCTTAAGAGCTAATGTTCTACTTTTTCTCTATTTGGTTCGTTATGGTGTCGAGGCTTGCACCAAGGAAGGAATTTTTTCTGCGTTTATTGCTAAAAAAGTTATTGTAAAGAAACCAACAAACCGTTTTTTACATGTTCCATAATTTTACACTTTTGCCGTTTATTAACGATGCTAGAGATCGTTTATAATTTTGTATTGCTGTCTGTCGTCTGTCTGTTGGCTTGTCCGTCTGTTCCTTTATCTGTCTCTCCCTCCTATCCGTGTGAACGATAACTTTGTTTAGAAATGTCCGATCGCTTTGACATCTCCGTTAGTTATGAACTGAATTGCATGAAATTCAATATGGACATATTAGCCATAGGTATAATACGCAATGCCAAAAGTTGAGTCGAATCGAATCAAAATTCACAGTACCCTGTTCTCATCTCGACCATTTATAAACCGAATTGCAAACGTTTTTATTTATAAAAGTATTTGAATAAAATTTGATACATAGGCACTTGAAATAAATTAAAATCGAACGCCAGATTCAAAATTCTGTTATAGGTTACACACGTTTTAATATACTTATACACAACCTCACTTTTTGGTACACTAATTTTCATTCCTGACAACTAATATATAACATCGTTAAAATTTCACATGCACTTTCACTTCATCAAATGACGCTCGGCCTGAAGATGACCAGTTAGGTCGAAATCGATAGCCGCAACAGAAAAATAAAAAAACGTGTTTAAAAAGATTTTTTTTTAAACCCATTCCTCGCCAAATTTTTTATTTATGGAAGAATTTAAACAAAATTTGATACATAGGCACTTGGAATAAAGGAAAATCTTACGCCAGTTTCAAAATTTGGCGCATGCGCAGTGTCAACTTGTTTTATTTATGAAAGCATATAAATGAAATTTGATACATAGGTGCTTGGAATAAAGGAAAATCTAACACCAGTTTCAAAATTTTATTTTGCGCATGCGTAGTGCCAACATTTTTATCTATGGAAGCATAATCTAATGTTAGTTGCAAAATTTAGATTTGCACATGCGCAGTTCCAACTTTCTTATTTAGATAAGCATTGAAATGAAATTCTTCTTATAAACTGAAATTGAAGTAGCACGTCAAAAATGTATTGCACATGTGCAACGCTATCTTTCATGTTCGTGGTCGGATTTTTACGATTTTAACAGAAGTTGCATCTTACAAATGGGAAATGAATACAAGTGGAAATGCGCTTTTTGTAAATCGTTTACGATTACTTTTTAACTTGTACTATATACATATGTTATTGCCAAGCGGAATATTTGATTCGATTTATTCGACAGGAACACATTCGGAGCAGTCACGCAGAAACACAAATTTTTATGATAAAGTTGCCTGAATGAAAATGATACATGTTTGAAATGCAGACACGTTTCCACGCGATAGAAAGAAATCAATTCTGAGGGTCTTTCAAGTTAGCGAGCAAGTTAGGTATAGATTTTGTTGGCCCCCTATATTTATAAAGTGACGATAAGGATAACTGTAAAAAATCGTGGATTGTAATAAATTTTCTCATGTGATGTATATAGGGCAATTCATCAATTCTATCAGCACGGTTGCACTTATTACAGCTTTTACATGATTTATGGCAAGCAGGGGTCGTCCAAGACATAGGTAAACGGCGTAAACCATCGTCGATTCCTGCACTAGGAAGTTGGTGTCCGTGAAGCGGTTTAACCCTGGGTTTAACTGTTGATATTTTGTGAAAGTTATTTTGTGGATCGTTGTTCGCAAAACCTCGGAGTATAGGTATAGACGTATCAAAAAAGTGAACAATTCGTAAAAAAACGATTGTATTGCATAAAAAAGTCACTAATAAAATCACATTTGCAGCGAGTAATAATAGTGCTTATATATGCAAGATCCCATACTTCCTTTTTCAAATGTCTCCAAAGAAAGAAATCAAGCTGATCAATTCGTGAAATCAATCCATCTACTAGAATACCGTTGATTGCGTCACAGTCTAACAGCCAAAACATAATGTATTGAAGCTCCATCTTGTAGAAGTGCATATTTTCTTCGTCTAGCAGCATGTTCCCATTGTCGTCCACTCGACACTCCATAGATTGCGTGATTAAAGGCTCTATCACTTCCTCCAAAAGATTCTGAGAGCATTCCTACAATTGTGTTCGATCACGCCGAGGTGCTCTGCCGCTTATTTTAAATGCACTTTAGGGGTTTATTTTGTATCTGTCTTAGTTTTTAAAATTAATTCATAACCAGTTACCAGGCCAATCTAGATTGTCTATCAAAATTACAATCTGTGGATAGCTAGTCACAGGAGCATGTGATTTTGAGAATATCTGCTTATGGTCAAATGTATTCCAAAGTATGACAGAAACAAGCCGATTTATATAACTTCATTTTTGTTGCAGCTGCTCTGGAAGATTTACGAGACAACATCGATGAATTGGATGGAAAGTCTGGAATTGACGAAACCGATCTTATTTTCCTCAAAGGGTTGATGGACAGTCCTGTAATGCAAAGACTAGTTAAAGTAAGTAAAGTTTAAAATCCAATAATCGGCGGGTTAAGATGTAGTGAAGACCTTCATTCTCTTCTGATTGTCACCTTTCTTTTCGGAGATGCGACAATTTTTTGTCCACACGTATTTGTTGTTTAGTATAATAGTACCTACCTATATTATATTGTAATCATATTTTTGAAACGACATGTTTCTACCGCAAGCCTATTTTTATTGATGGTATCGGTTGTCTCAATTATCACGGATACAATAAACAAATCAAAATTTCTATGACTATGAAACCATGGCCTATATTATTAAAAAACCTTAAACATTCAGGTTTTTACTTTTGGTTCAAATCTCAGAAACGGTGGCCCAAAAATTGTTTTTTCACTACGCCACTATTAGATACTGTATTCTACTAGGTATTCTCAGAGACTTGTTATACCTAGACCGCGCATAGCTCAAGTTGAATGTTGTCAACATGGTAGGCCACCCACCGAACTCGTAAAGGCAAGAACTTTCGCGCTCCAATCTTCACTATTTGTTTTTGTTGGGATTATATCGCTGAACTGGCCATTACGAGTATGATGTGATGCCTAAACATGTTGGCATCACTCTTTTATACGCGAGTGGCATTGTATGCGCGGTCTAGGTATAACAAGTCTCTGGGTATTCTATGTATAACAATCCAAAAGGGATTTTTTAGTTTTTTCCTATACATGGGTAGTAAAATATGACAACATCTCAAAAAATCAAACTTTTCGTTTTCGCCATGTAGGTAGGTATCTCAGAAATAAAGTAGCTAGATCGATTTTCTTTGTGGTATTAAAAGTTTCACAAAAAGTGGGACAGGGTCGCGAAAACCACAAATCACTATCTTTAGAAACAGCTGAGATACTTACACTGCAGTCTCGACCAAAATAGGACACACGACACCGACACATACTATGTTACACCATTGTTTAAATACTTTTTAAACAATGGTTACACCATTGAACTTATAACTATCATAAATTCAATGGTTACACCTTTCAAGAACCAAATAGCAGTCAACTTTTTCGTTCCTTGAGCACGGAAGACCGAATGAATTGCATTTCCTGTGTCAATATTGCGAATTTGAGATGAAACCTACAAGCACAGAATCTGTGCTACAAGTAACGCAAGGCGTCCAGTGAGACTTCCATTCTGTTTTTTTACAAAATGTGCAAGATAGGTATGTCATACCCATATCCAACAGCCTAGGTCGAAACGTTATACTATTCGGTTTGAATTAGAGTAGATTAGTCCCTTTGTCCCCCTCTACTGCCAAGTTTCTTTGCATACTGTAGGGACTTGTTATACCTACATACACCGTTATACACTGCATAATATACAGGGTGGTGACTTGCGTAACGCATCATAGGGATTTCAATGTAAAATTCATAACATGCGATTATTGGCTCCCCAAATTATTTTAGAGCAAAAATGTATTAAGGTTTTTTGTAGAAAAAAAATTTTTACGTCAATCAACCGTATTACTTTTCAATTTTTTGCATAATAAAAACGGAAAATTGGAAAAATAAAACCCGCATCTTTGCAATAATCTGTGATGCCATGGAATTTTATAATACAAAAACTACGCCAATATCCGTCATGCCATGGAACGTCAGCTATAAAACAAATCAAATTCCATCAAATAGTTATTTGTTTCATTAGTACAAAAAATGTCAGTTTTGGGGACGAGGAAGATAGTTGCTGGACGACGCGTTAGCGGAGTCCAGCAACCTTCCGAGTCCCGAAAACGCATTTTTTGTACGAATAAAACATAAAATTTTTTCTCCAACCCCCTTTACTTCAAATTATATTCGAATTTAGATTCAGTCACAGTTTCACTACTAGTATAAGAACTGCTTTCTTGTCCTCACGTGTCATGCCACTCTAGTTTTTAGGTTAACTTATAACCTATTCGTTCTTACTTCTTACTTCTCACCTCTCGCGACTTTGTAGGGAGCAAATCTTGAGGTAGCATGTTCTGCCGTTTCTAAAATCTCTGGCGGAGTGCAATCCATGTCGCTATCAGTTTCAGTCATTTCTATATACACAATTAATATTGTTATATTTTGTATTGAAATAAAAAACTTGCCATACAGTTTTTTAATTAAAATTAATTGCAATTAACTTTTTCAAATTTTGAATTCAAAATGACAGATAATAGTGCAATGGGTCTGAAGTAGATGGCGTTACGCGCGACGGCGGGTTGTATACGTATTAAAATTACGTTCATCGAATATGTAAATTACGTTACACATGGTTTAAATAAAAATAGCGAGCGTAAATCATTTTCAATACATGTACATACGTATAGGTAACATCATTATTTCCATTGAATATGCAAAAATATTTGATTTGTATGTATAGAAATATCTTACAACCTGCAATGTAAAACGATGTCAATGTGACATATCTCCGTGATTGTAATTTTTTAATTGGCCAACTTTCAAGGTCAATTTCTTTTTGGTACTAGGACCAAAAGTATCCACTTTTTGTACAGTTGCCATGGTGAAAGCGATTAATCCGCAAAACGTCAATTTTACGTACCGAACACTGTCACAAAATAGCGTCTTATTCAGGTGGTTGGAGAAAAAAGTATTATATTTAGAACAGCGAATTCAACATAAAGAAAGACTAAATTACTGAAAAGGGTTTCCTAATATAACAATTTACAATAAATGTTCGAATAAGTTACCATTAACTACAAGACAGTAACCAAGTCGATCATAAAATCCATTTCGAACTGCTGCTAATATTGATAACTGGATATCTTTTTGTTTTAGAAAATTCCATGGCTTCACAGATGATTGAAAAAGATGCGGGTTTTATTTTTCCAATTTTCCGTCTTTATTATGCAAAAAAATGAAAAGTAATACGGTTGATTGACGTAAAAAATTTTTTTCTACAAAAAACCTTAATACATTTTTGATCTAAAATAATTTGGGGAGCCAATAATCGCATGTTATGAATTTTACATTGAAATCCCTATGATGCGTTACGTAAGTCACCACCCTGTATATAGTATACAACGTGTACAAACGAAAATTTAATTAAATTTGTTGAATCATTTTGGCGCCGTTCCTACAAACACCATAGGTATATAACGACACCCGTGTCCAGTTGGATTGTGTGTAAAGGGTTAGTTTTGTAGTTTGCATGTGGAAGGTTTTGATTTTCATTGATTTACTTAGGTACCTACACCTTTATTTATACAATGTTGATGTGGAGGTGCTTATTTATTGCCTAATTTAAATACGCGTAGAAAATGGCGTGAATCACTGCCAAAGAATTCTGTAATGATAATTATTTTTCTTAACAACGTCAAATCACTGGTAATTACCTCATATCGTTTTGGTTTACACTACAAACTGACTCATTTGTTAATTATGTGGATATATCCTGCCCGGCACGCGTATACGACATTGAATAAACGACAATTTAATTGACATATATCGCATTAAATTAACTTAAGGCGGAGGAGGACCCATGTCAGATATGAATCATCCATTTAAAAGAGGTCATCGTGTACCTACCGATTACCGAATTGCACTAATTTGTTGCATTATTTGGTACACGTCATAATTATTGATGGTTTCTAACTTGCAATCCACAATTTTGTAGGCTAAAATTTGTATGTTCCTACTTATAAAATTGGAGATTTTGTTTTAACAAATCACGAGAAAGTTACCTACTTTTCTTGGAACGGTTCTTTCTTGAAGAATTTTATTTTCCGGTAATATTTAAAAGTTGACAAGCCATTATTCCTAAATTATAACGCGAGGTCGTGGTTTTTTTGTTAGAGCAACGAAAAAGTCTCGGCCGCACAGGAAAAAATTTCATGGTTTTTACCCGTAGACAATAGCAGTTTGAAAATCACCGCCGTTGTGCTACCGATTAATTCACAAGTTGCAAATCTAAAGGAATTTGAACAATCAATCACTAATTGAAGCAATTAGAGCCTAAGCCTTAAATACCTGTCGTCTACGATTCAAGCTTGAGTGGTGAGAAGTGCGTATATTGAGTTATTGATTTGCGTTAGCGACGTACCTGGGCTATTCACCCCTATTTCTGAATAATGTTGATATTTAGGTATGTAAGTCAATGACTAGCGAGATCAATAAAAATAATTACGTTTAGGTTAATTGTTTTCGTCGTTCATAAAAGCACTTAACCCTTCAGGTTGAACTCGTGGGGGCCCGAGAAGTTTGAGGTCCCCCACTAGTAGCCTTATTGTGAAGTCGGTTCCCATTTCAAGTGTATATGTCGCGGTAAACACCTACTGATATTTAAAAATTAAAATCGGGGGTGCGCTGCGAATGTGCGATTAGTGTGTTGTGGGTTTTATGCAAAGGTAAATAGCGAAAAAGTGCGTACGTATGTATAAAGACGAAATACATTTTTATTACGGAAGTGTGTTAAATCGTTTCTCTTTGATGATGTCAGCAGTGACGCCGCCTAATTGATTACCTGTTTGTTTACATGGATTAATCCGTTTTTATCAAAAAGGTGAAAATTTGCTGAGTTCTGTTTGCTTTCCTCAGCACTGACAGTGCATTCTTAAGCGTTATATTTATAATTAAAGTGAATCATATTTAAAGGTAAATGAGCCACACCTGTGAATGCTTCTATGATAAGAAGCGGCAACAGCGTGTTTTATACACGAATAAATTCCTTACCTGGCTTGTTTACCGCTTTTATTAACGACTTTTTTGATTATTTCTCGTGACGTGTTCCGTTATCAAAAAGTTAATCAAGTATTGTTCGCCTATATACATAAATAATAATAGGCCAATAAGTTGCATAAATTGATTTAATCTAAAAAGTCGAAAAACGGTTTCGGGTGTAAGATGTACCTATATAATTGCGTAACAAATGGCTTAATAGCCTCCCGCTGTTACCGTCTACAAACAAAGAGATATGACACCAGACTTCCCCAAACTACCTGCCAGTTGCACCCTCGGTATAAAGCAACCTGTCTAGATCGAAAAAATTATAAGAAC